CTCTCTCTCTCTCTCTCTCTCTCTCTCTCTCTCTCTCTCTCCACACTCAATCCCATCTTAGTCTGTAAAGGATTGAGTGCCTCAGACACTCATGAAGTCTTCTCTGTCTCTAGATATTGATGAATGCCGGGAGATCCCAGGGGTCTGTGAAAATGGAGTGTGTATCAACATGGTTGGCAGCTTTAGATGTGAATGTCCAGTGGGATTCTTCTATAATGACAAGTTACTGGTTTGTGAAGGTAAGTGATGTTGTGACTGTACCATACTGTTGCCAGGTTTCACAACATTGAAATCCAGCTCAAGACCTAGAATAGTGAAGGATGTGGTGAGAACCAACATGAGGGTCTGTGCCAAAAAAATTCATTAACTCCCAGTGGAAGAGCTAGGATGTGCATTCCAGAGTCTCTTTGCCCCAACACACAGTACTCTAGATTTCACAACTGATAGCAAAAAGCTTTGAGTTCCTGGGTGTGTCAAATAGGTTGCTTTTGTTTCACTATCTTGAATGCAATCATGAATGGACAGTCATCTTTAGTTGAATGTCAAAGTCACTCAGTGTTCTCTTCTAAACAGAGATTTCGCTACTCCCAAATGGCAACAAGGTTAAAACAAATATTCTAAATGCATGAGAGAATTCCAAATAGCAAGATGAACAGATTTGATTTTATACTCAAAATGTTGGCGTGCTCGCAGATGGACTCGAAATTGCCTCCTCTTGCCATGTGTATACACTGTGACTCTGAGCATTCCATATAGTACTTGACATTTTTCCTACATCTGGGGAAGTTAGCATTCTTTTACATTTTAGTGAAAGGAACAGTGCTGCTTATTAAATATGTTATGTGCTCTAGGATAACTAGAATAGATTTCTATTTAATACTTGAGGTGCAAGCCTCTAGCAGAGTTTTAGACATTATAGAAAGGGTTATTACTCCTGAGAACATGTGTTGTAGCATGTATGTCAACATTTTAATGCTAAAGTAACCCTTTTTCCTCTAAATTAGGGATAGTTATAATCCACAAGCAGAGTTATATTCCATTAGTAACCACATGCTTACTGAGTTCTCTTCTCAGACCTTCAATCACCATGGCCAGCTGGGCACACACCACTTACCCTGCTTGTTGTGTGGGTTGTAGGTAGGGGTGGTGGCCACACAGAGCCTTTCTAAGGAGATGACCAGTTCACACCATGGCCCCAGCCTTCCTCATGGGCATACTCTTCTCCTTTGGCTACGTGCCTCCGGATGCCTGCCACCTTCTCCCAGAATTTCCTCTTCTCTCCTTTCAGAAACCCCTTGGATAGTTACCCAAATACCTCCCTGCCACTTACATTTTCTGAACACTGCTGCCCTGGCACATAGGCAAGGCTACTCATGTCCACCAAGTTAACCTAGACCTTGCAACATACATGAGTTTCAGAGCCTAAAGCTGGGCGGGCACAGGCACCTTGCTGTCAGGGAAGACCCAGCATGCTTCACCCAGTAGTTCTGCCCTTCTAAGGGTGTAAAGAAACAGTCACTCTCAGTGAACATTAAGAAGACTAAGTACTCTGGTTTTGGGTTTCCATTTCAGAAATTATATATCTTCAAGGTGAGTGTTTAATTGGGCTCAGCTGCTTCTCACACATTCTCTGATTTCAAAACAAATGAGAAAATTAAGGTAGATTTCATGTATGTCTTGGCCATCCTGAAGTTCGAATGGATTCCAGAAATGGTTTTGGGAGCATCTACATGTCTGCTTTCCACAAGTACGTGCATGATCCGATGCTAGGCTGGTGTATCACAAGTGCCTGCCTGTCATACCATTTGGCTTCTCTAGTGGCATGATTGACTCTGTGTTTCTTTACCTGCCTACCAGGAGGGCAGAACTACTAGGTGAGGCAGTGCTGGGTCTATCATAACAAGATAGGCATACTGCTGCTCTGGAACCTATTGCAGAGAGGTGTGGTCCACCTCGCCTTAGACAGAAACCCCCACTCCTGGAAGCACCCCTGATGGTTCCAGGGTTTTACCACCACAGAAGCACATGTCTAAGAGACATCCTGATGTGTTTTCTGTTGTGTGGCTTTCCCTATCAGTCCAGATAGGACACTGACAACCAAAGAAACAACTCTACCCAAGTCTAGCTCAGTGAACTAGTAAGCTTATTGGGTTATATGTTAGAATATGCAGACGGGTTACTTACAGGAGCATGGATGGCTCATAGGCAGCTACGTCACCAGATAGCCCACCCTATGCCAGCATAGGGGACAGTTCATAAAAGCCGGTCCTCAAGCAGCCAGAGCACCTCCTCCCTCCAGGCATTGTTACTGCTCTTAGAACCTCGAGGAGGGTCTCTATGAATCTTCTACATTTGGGGAGCTTCCTGAGGCTTGTAAATTTTATTTGGTAGGATCCACCAGTTGTATTGTACATCATGGGGGATGTGGATAAGTTTCTAATGACATAGTTACTATTCTAGTATCATAGTTTTGCTACCCTAAGGCTTCTCCATGTTCTCTCTGACCACCACCTCTCCTCTACTCTAATCTCTATTAACTACTGATCTTTTTTTCCTATATCTTTTGCCTTTTTTAGAATTTGAGATAGTTGGAATCCTGTGTGTGTGTTGTCTTTTCAGACTGGCTTTCACTATTAATATGATGGACATTTCTCCCAGGTATCCTCATGGCTTGATAGTTCGCTTATAATTCTCACTGATAGTTTGTCTGAATGTACAACAGTGTATTTATAATACATTTACCTGCCGAAGGATGTCTTGGTCGCTTGTGAGTTCTTGCAGTTATGAGTAAAGCCGTTGTAAACATCCATGTTGTCTTTTCAGAAGAGCAAGCCAAAGTAAGAACATACATGTCTGGTTTTTGTATGAAGCTTCACCGGCTCAGCACCAGACTGTCCTCCCTTGAATTAAATGTTCTTGTGCTTGCAGATATTGATGAATGTCAGAACGGCCCCGTGTGCCAGCGCAACGCTGAATGCATCAACACTGCAGGCAGCTACCGCTGCGACTGCAAGCCGGGCTACCGCCTCACCTCCACCGGTCAATGTAATGGTATGTAGCTCCCCTGGCTGGGCGTGTCCACTCAGAGGCCATCGCTGCCACACTTCTAAGACCTGCACTTCTTTTGAGACAATGGAGCTGAAGGACACAAGTAAAGATTCAGATTCATAAACTTAAATAACTAAATTGGGGGGAGAAGGAAAATTGTTGGGAATAGCTAAACACTTAGCTTTTTGCCCAAAAAGATAGTTTACATAAATAAGTCTTATTTTTGCCTATCTTCCTACCATACATGGAAACACCCACCCCCACATGTATGCACACATGCACACAGTATTCAGGACTAAATTATTTTTTGGCTTCTACACAATCCCCTTAGACAGGTGAGGTTTCCACCAGCTCCACCACATACACGTACACCAATCTAGACAGTGAGACTCCCTTGAGTTGGACCAGATCTACCTGCACAAATGAATTTTTCTAAAAGAAAATCAGTTGAAATCTGCAAACATTCAGTCTCATCATCTCTAAAGCCCCTGTAGTAGGCCAGAGACTGTCACCTCCAGGTTAGGCATATTTGTCATTCACCTCGTCAAGGAGATCGTCGAAATAAAAGAGATGCATTTGCTGCTGACTTACATTGATGTCAAAATCATTCCACATCTGATGGTGTCTCATAGCCAGGAGTCCAAAATTAAGACCCTTGTGTTTCAACTCAGAAGCAAATTAATATCTCAGGTTGATTTTCATGTAAGTTTTAAAATAATTATAAATCGCAGTGTATTTAGAGGTCAGGAAGAATGTGTTTTTCCTCTTGTAGTTAGTTCATTTCCAAGCACATTTCCTGGGTATTTTATGCATTTGTGAATGAAACAACTCGGGGGAGCATGGTAAGGTTTTCCTTGGCTTTCCTGGTCAGTGGTGATTAAGACTTAGGAAGGGCACTGCTCTCTGCAGGGCATTTTGCATTGTTTTATCGGACCTCGGTGGGAAGAGGGTGTAAGGACAGAACAAAAAAAATCACTTTACAAATCAAGATTTGTTTTGTTGAATGTAAGGGAACATGTGCTTAGCGTTTTGTCAACAGAGCTGTGATTATCCGTATAGTAAAAATACAGAACAGGAAAAACAGGGGCCCCTCTGATAGGAAGCACAATGCCCCGGTAACATTTGGCTCTGGTTCCACTTCCCTGCATTTTACTCATAATTTATATTTCTTTGGAACTTGGTGAAATAAATCCAGTTAAAATAAAGAATGCCTGATAATATAGAATGTCGTTTCATGTCATTTCATACTCTGGCACAAGGTGGGACAGGGTTATTTATAGATCAAGACAAGACATTCAGCTACAGCCCACTAGGGCTTAAGCCCTTTTGAGTATTCTTGTAGAACCTTAGCATACATGAAATATATGTGTGGTAAGTGTGAGCAAGTGGCTGTAGAGCCAGAAGGTCAGCTTTTCTCCTTCAATGGTATCCTTGCCTCTTGCAACTATTCAGCTGTGAGGGCTGAAGATTTCATTCCAGAAACATCTTCATTTCTATATCATTATTTTTTGTGTTTTGTTTTTTAAACAATCTCACTAGTTAACTCAGGCTGGCTTCAAGTTCAGAATCCTCCTGCCTCATCTCCTGAGAGCTGGCATTACAAGTGGTGGCCATGGTGCCCAGCCACCATCCTACTTTGAAATATGACCACTGGATGGGCTGACTAGATGCCAGTGGGCGCATTTACACTAAAGGAATTTGGGTGCACACCTGAATAAATAGGATTCAGCATGTATGGCAGAGTGCATAGGGTTCAGAAGGGGAATAGGGGGAGACATGGATGGGGGAGGGGTCTGGATTTGAGTAGGAAATGTTGTATGAAATTTTAAAAGCTCAATTTAAAAAAATAACAGGAAAAAATATTTTAAATGCCATCCTATGCTGGTAGTTTTCAGGTATGATGCAAAGCATTCCGCTCTGCCTGTATTTAAAATGAAAGGAACTAAAACTTTCCCTCCGTCATGCAAACTTTGAATTTGAATTTATGCATAAGTAGTTTCAAACGCCACTTGGCCCCAACAGCCACAGTGCTCCCCGTGTGACCTCAGGAGCAAATGCAGCCCTTCAGCGCTTTCCCAGCCACTTCCCAACCACTTGCTGGTGGTCCCCTGGATTTCTGTCTGGGCTCCCTCCCCTCCCCCATGGCTTGGCCAAACCTCCCATCCCAACCTCAGATGTACTCTCCTGGGATTTCATCCTGGTGCTTATAAAAACCTCATTATCTAGACTGCCAAAAAGCAAGCACTCTACAATGTTCTCTAGAATGGTAACTCTTTCTTTTATCAGTAGAGCCCCCAGGTATTCCATTTTTCATTTTTTACAACCATCATAAAATAGGATGTAGGAGAGATATGTAAGTAGATCTGGCCCTTACATACTCCTAGATCAAGTACTACCATTCCTCAAGGTCAGCTCCTTTTACTGATAATGGGACTGAAAATTAGGGGGCGGGGGGCTTTTGCCCAACCGTTCTTCATCTTAAATGTTTTCTCAAATGAAAACAGGGAGTTATGTTGACTGTTATTTCTGCGTAGGTTAGCCCTAGCTCTTGAGCTGTACAATAACAATTTTCTTCCTAAGTTTGAAACTTTTAAACGGTGAACTTTTAAACAGATTGATCCATCTTGCTAGGAGATGGTTGAAAAAAATGGCAACTTGTGAGACAGCTTTCTGCACGGTCAGGCCATGCTGCTCTGATGTAAGGGTTGCTGTGCTAATAGACACACAGGCAAGCAATCCAGATTTTCAGCTAAAAGCAGGATGTGCTGTGTGGGACTACATCTGCTGTGTCATGACATCTGCTTCCTTCTATAACAGGAAAACCAGGAAAGTTCATGTCTATGTAGTCTTGAAAACTTTACAAAATTAAAGACATCAGTGCTGATTAAGGAAATGTGTGCTCTCAGGGCAAACAAGAAGCAGTTCATTTTTGTTATTTCACTATTCCCCCGAAGACTCCCTCAATAACTCACACAAGAAAAAAATGAGACATAAGTAGGCATTTAATTATGTCATTTGTGAACTCATGCATTAAATTCTGCCCCTCGGACAATCAGATTTCAAGAAAGTGACAAAGACCCAGTTGCTCATGAATATGACGGAGAGCTTAATGATGGTAGAAACAAGAGTAAGACCTTCTTAGAATGCTCAGAAGGGAAGGAAGACGGCTGGGACTGTCTTGTTAGATTTGGCGAGGTGGAGCCAAGGCTACAGTGGCAAGACAAGCAGTGAGGTTAGCCTTGAACCTATCCAATTGAACACCATCCCATTTCAATAAACGCTGGATGTATTTGACTTTGATGTAAATTTTCAGAAGAAACCACAAGGTGTCCATGCTCTGTAGCGCCAAAACTGAGACTAGAGAAATTCACCCTGCAATCTGAGATGCTGCTTAGCAGATAATCAAATAAGAAAAGCCTCCCAGCTTGAATCTTTCCTCCCAATTAGTTGGTTTTTCCTTTTCCCTAACATTTTTTGGGGTACAACCCTGATTTTCATTGTTTTGCGTTGGTAGCATGCCCCTGAAAGTAAGATCCAACCAGCCTGAAGCAAAAATAGATGCAATGCTAGTGTCTGCTTCACTGCCTGGGTTTCAGAGAAGGATTAACCCTGAACGTAATGCCTAGAAGCCGTTGAATCTGAATTTATATTCTTAGTCTATGTCAAGAAAAGAAAGCAAGCAAAAAAGTGCATAGTGCCCATTTGAGATGCTTTTGATTTACAGATCGAAACGAATGCCAAGAGATCCCCAATATATGCAGCCACGGGCAGTGCATCGACACGGTGGGAAGCTTCTACTGCTTGTGCCACACTGGCTTCAAGACAAACGCTGATCAGACCATGTGCCTGGGTGAGTGTGTTCAGCATTTCATCCTGGGTGAGTGTGTGGTCACCGTATCATCCTGGGTGAGTGTGTGGTCACCGTATCATCCTGGGTGAGTGTGTGGTCACCGTATCATCCTGGGTGAGTGTGTGGTCACCGTATCATCCTGGGTGAGTGTGTGGTCCATCCTGGGTGACTATGGCGTCACCGACTCTGCCTGGGTGAGAGTGTGTTCACCGTATCATCCTGGGTGAGTGTGTGGTCACCGTATCATCCTGGGTGAGTGTGTGGTCACCGTATCATCCTGGGTGAGTGTGTGGTCACCGTATCATCCTGGGTGAGTGTGTCCCATCATTTCATGTTTTTCCTCGTGTCTTTTACGACTGAGTATATGTGAGATTTAATGCTAAGTTCATTAATTATTATGCTGTTTACAAAAATAATGGTAGGTATACAACAGTGTGGCAACACTTAATCTTTGTCAATCTGAGCATAATAAACTTCTTCCTTGATATTCATTAGACCGTCAGTTTAGAAAACCATTTTTTCTTGCAGTGTCAGAAATCATATACAGGGCTTCACACTTGCTAGACAAGCATTCTACCACAGAGCCACACCTCTAACCCTAGAAAACCTTGTGGCCAACAGATAAATTGAGAAATATATTGAAATAAAAGCTTAATTTGTATTAATATTAATAGCAGGTGATTTTGTTACTAGAACATATTTCAGCTTTTGAAGGTATTTTGAGAAGGCACTATAATGTGTACTAAATCCTCAAAGGCAAATAGAAAATCATTGGAAAAGAAAAAGAAAAGAATAATTTTCCAGTGGGGGGGTAGGAAAAAGAGTAGGATTTTCTACCCCTTCCTGAGAGTCAGAGCTGTGAGTATGCATCATGTTAATGTAACCAATGGTTTTTCTCACTTCCCTTCCTTTCTTCTGCTTTAAAGTAACATTCATTAAGCCTTTGAAGGTCCTTAGGACCATGAATCAATTTTATGGCTGGAAGAACAATCCATAGGGCTCTGTTTAAGCTGCTCGCCTTTGGGCCTCCAGGTCCATCCATTACAGCTCCTTCTCATCCAGCTGTGTCCTCTCCATAATCCCCCTGGCTCGCCCAGGGCAGCTCACCCCTTGCATTGCTACAGGAATCTGCCCAGCTGCCCTTCTCTTTTTTTCCATTTGAACTCTCTGGAACCTTCTCACAAAGAATATATCCTAACAAGACCTTCAGGAGCCCAGCTGTAGGTGAGTAAGGGAGAGTCGACGTGTCTTCCCAGTACTCAGGTGGCTGGCATCGTGACTCGATTCAGCCACATATTTAAGGCACTAGGAGCCAGCAATAGCTTTCCATTCCGAATCACAAATAGTAATCTTCATGTCCAAAACTTGAAAGAGACACAGTCTTCCTTTTTTCTTTTTGAGACAGGGTCTCCCTGTAGCTCCAGCTGGCCTGGAACTCCTTATGTACACCAGGCTGGCCTCCATCTCACAGAGATCTGCCTGCCTCTGCCACCCAGTGCTGGGACTAAGGGCATTTTGGAAGAGGCAGTCATCACGTTCGCTCTTCCCAGGAGTCACTTCCCATTTGCTCTCTCTTCTTCTCGACCTTCCTCATCACAACTCATTAGGACTCATTTTTCTGACTAGTTGTACCAATTTTCTTTAGTCTTTCTACCTCCTCTTTAGCACAGTAGGCACATGCTCTTTGTAAGGACGATGCTAGCTGTGGTAAAATGCAAAAGTATTTAAGTTGCTAGAATAGCCTTTACAATATAAATCACAAACCAATAAAAAGCCAGTGATGCAAGTCCCGGTGAACAGAGCCAGATCAAGTGCCTCCCTGTTAGCCTAGTTCAGAAGGGGAGGAGTCTTTACGGGCTGGAGCTGTGTGTGTTTAGTGGGAGAAAGGAGACGTGCCTAGAGTGGCAGGTTATCTAGAGACTGGAGTTCATTTGTTGATTGCAGAGTAAAGCCAGGTGAGTCATGGCTGCAGAGGAAACTGGAGTAAGAATCCCGAAAGCTGAAGGCTGTCAAAGGTGGTGACAAGTCAGGGCCCAAATGCACACAGACGTTTTTCCATCTTCAAGTGAAAATATTTGAGCAAAATGACTTGGGTGGGGAATTCAAGAAGGAAACAATAGAATTCTTGTCCAACTCTCAGGTCCTCAGCCAGCCAAGGAAACTATACTTCCAAGGTGCAGACCCTCATCTCTGGCTCTGCAGGGGACTGCTGCCATCGTCCTACTGGGGAGATGCTATGCACCCCAAAATGCTCCTTCATGTCAGGGACCACATAGCCCTTTTCTCCTTTAGTAATAGTGTTTCTCCCTGGCCTTTCTTCCTCCTAGACATAAATGAGTGTGAGAGAGATGCCTGTGGGAACGGGACTTGCCGAAACACCATTGGTTCCTTCAATTGCCGCTGCAATCACGGCTTCATCCTTTCCCACAACAACGACTGCATAGGTGAGTGTGCCAGGGAGTGCGGGGCCAAGTCCGTTTATCTGTGTGCTTTATCACTAGCATCATCTCCAGGGTCAGGCTGGTGTGTGATGTATACCAGCTTCTGCCTACAGTTGGTGACAGGACTTGTCAAATATAATGTGCTAATTAAAAGTCAGATATAGTAGCTACGTCCATTACCTTTATGGAAATGGGCATTAGCTGCCATAATTTTTATATCTTCTTTGCTGTAAATTAAATAACTTTCAAAATTAATGCATTAGATTAAAATTTAAAGTATACGGAGTTGGAGAGATGGCTCAGAGGTTAAGAACACTGACTGCTCTTGCAGAAGACCTGGGTTCAATTCCCAGCACCCATGGCAGCTAACAACCATCCATAACTCCAGTTCCAGGGGATTTGATGGCTTCTTCTGACCTCCACAGGCATTGCACAACACAGGTACACTTACACACATGCAGGCTAAATACACTCATACACATAAGATAAAAATAATAAAGTATGTTTAAGATTTTAAAGTATACAAAAGCAATTCCTTATATGTGAATTGTGATTTGGAAGAGCATGGACCTTTTTGCCTAGATGTTTCTCTGCAGCCTCTCTTCAAAGAAATAATTAAGTGCATAAAATTCCCCTTATAAGACATGGTAGGTCTCTTCTCTCATATGCAGAATATAGATTTAACTTTATATATGTACTATATAAAGAATAAATAAATGTACATATGCAGCCACATACATATATGTGACATGAAAGCAGAAGAGGACTATTTGGGGTGAGGAAGGGGCCAGTGTGAGAGGAGAGACAGGGTAGGGTACCAGAGATGGGAACATGAGCAAACTGCCATGATACAGATATGCAAAACATCACAGCGAAACCCATTATTTTATACTAACTGTCCTAGTTCTCTTTCTTTGGCTGTGATAAAACACTCTGACCAAAACCAGCTTGGAGAGGAAAGGGTTTATTTCATCTTATTACAACTTCCAAAGCACAGTTCATCTTTGAAGGAGGCCAGGGCAGGAAACTAGGGGCAGAAGTTGAAGCAGGGACTGTGAAGGAGCACTGCTTACTGGCTTACTCCTCTGGCCGGTGCTCAGCCTACTTTCTTATGCAACCCAAGACCATTTGCTCAAGGATGGCACCACCCTCAGTGGGCTGGGCCCTCCCGCATCGCTCAACAATTAAGAAAATGCCTCACAGATGTGGCCACAGGCTTATTCCACAGAGGCAGTGTTTCAAATGAGGTTCCCTTTTCCCAATGTCAAGTGGACAGTCGAAGCCACCCAGAACACTAAAAATAAATTTAAGAAGGCATGCCGGGGAAGAGTAAGGGACCAAATACTGTGTAGAACTAGAAACTAATTTTATAAACTAATTTCAATACTGAAGCATGACCAGCTGAATTGTGTGTCAGTAAATCCGTTTTACCTTTTCAAAATAAAGTGTAAAGATGTCACAAAAAGGGAAAGGAAGTGTTGAGGAAGCATGGGGGGGTCAGTGGGACACATGAGACAAGGAAGAAAAAGGTGGTTTGAGGAGGTGGAGGGGGACTGGGGCATGAGGGGCATGAGGGGCATGAGGCAGAAAATCCAAACAAGTTTTAAGATTCCATAATGAAACCTAATAGCGTATATATTAATTAAAATGTTTTTAAATAAAAAATGCAAAAAGGCAAAAAATAATAAAATCTAAAGTAATGCCTAGGTGAAAACATTATAAAATCCTCAGGTAAATTATCAGCTGTTACTATAATGCTGTAATATTTTCAGTATGTTTAGATAGGTGTCCAAAGCTGGGTCTGTGGCTGCAAACCAGATCTTCGTTGTCATTTCTTATGTTTGGCTGAGTCCACAAAGGCCAGCAAACTTTAGAATGATTGCTGGGATCTGGACATTTCTCTTGGACCATAACAAAGATTTCTTTTCTCAGATGTTGATGAATGTGCAACTGGAAACGGAAACCTTTGCAGAAATGGCCAGTGTATCAATACAGTGGGCTCCTTCCGGTGCCAGTGCAATGAGGGCTACGAGGTGGCCCCGGACGGCAGGACCTGCGTGGGTGAGTGCAGGGCTCAGGATGACGACCCAAGAGAGTGTCCCCAGAGGCTACATGCATAATCAGGGGGCCTCCATTCCAAATCTGCCCATGCATAGCTGCGGGAAAAGTCGGCATAGGGCTGCACAATGGCCCCATTGAAGGCTTTATTTTTGTTTTTTAAAAAAGCATATATTAGGAAGCAGGTGGCTCTCTATGAGATCCAGGCCAGTTTGGTCTACATAGTGAGACCCTGTCTCAAATAAATAAATAAATAAATAAATAAATAAATAGTTACATAGTGAGATTGTCTCAGATAAATAAATTACATAGCGAGACCCTGTCTCAAATAAGTAAATAAATGGCATACATACAGTCATTTTCCTTTTTATTCTTACAAATTAACTTATATTTATAGAATGCAGTTAAACAGTTTAAGTAAGCTACACTAATGTTAAACTTAATAATTAAATTGTTGTGATTCTTTCTTACTTTTGTATTTAAAATACCTCTCCAGAAGTAAATGCATATGGTCTTTTACGTGCTCTTTCGCATGCCACATTTTCTAGAAATATTTAATTTGTGACTGACAGAATAAAATACGACAGTTAGATTGTACACTTTGGAAAGCTGATAAAGCTTACTTTTATTAAATCATGTTTTCCTCTTTTGGGAGACCTGTGTGTGCTTCTTTGCTTTGATTCCAGTTTCTTCGAGTTTGAACTTCTTGATGGAAATCATGCCAGTGGGAATGTCTTTCTCTTTTCCCTTTTCTTTGCAGATATCAACGAATGTCTTTTAGAACCAGGAAAGTGTGCACCTGGAACCTGTCAGAACCTGGACGGATCCTACAGATGCATTTGCCCGCCTGGGTACAGTCTACAGAACAACAAGTGTGAAGGTAGGAGCTAGGAATGAGGTGCTAGCAATGAGGAGGATTGGGGCACTGCATCAGAGATTCTTGTGATGGTGGAATCCTCTATTTTGTTTTTAATCTAAGGTCATGGGATATGACTTATGATCTCATTCTCTGGCAAGACAGGATTGGCCAGCTCCCGTGCTAAAGCCTGCCGTTGGTTTTCCCTGTGCACAGGGATCCTCAGATGATCCAGCTTTTCTACTATGCTTTGATACAATTTACAACAATGCTGTGTCCCACTGCTCGTCTTCCTGAATTAAATGTTTTTAAATGGCAATCAATGACAACTAAAAATAGCTCCTGCGTTTTTCTAGTTTGTTTTCTGTTGCTGTGATAAACACCATGACCAAAAGCAATTTGGGGAGGAAAGGGTTATTTGACTCACAAGTTACAGCCCATCATCCAGGGAAGCCAACCAAGGCAGGAACCTGGAGGCAGGAACTGAAGTAGAGACCATGGAGGAATGCTGCTTACTGGCTCAGTTCTGGCTTGCCCAGCCGTCTTTCTTCAGTCTAGACACGCTTGCCCAGGGATGGTACCGTCTACAGTGGACTTGGCCCGCCTATATCAGCTAGCAATTTTTAAATGCCCTACAGACATGCCTATGGGCCAGTCTGATGGAGGAAATTCCTCATTTAAGAGTCTCTCATCCTCAGTATGTCAAGTTGACAACTGAAACTAACTGACTTGCATCCAGTTAAGATTTTTAAGTGCTCACATTCAAGGTTGGGTGAAAGAGGTTATATAGTCTGTGCTGTCTTCAGCTGTAGAATGATAGAAATGTGTTATTACAAATACATTCTGAACAAATTTTATAGTATATTACATTTCTTTACTTTCATTAAGTGAAGAATATTCATTACCAGAACTTGATAAATAAATAAGGTTGAATGCATTTTCAGGAAGTCATAGTTCACACCCACCCTGCTTTTAAAACAGATCTGCTTCTCATCACAAGGGGTATGAATTTTATATTTTCTTTTATTTTTTTTTTTTTGTCTTTTTGAGACAGGGTTTCACTGTAGCCGCAGCTGGCCTAGAACTCACTATGTAGACCAGGCTGGCCTTGAACTCACAGATATCCGCCTGACTCTGCCCCCCAAGTGCTGGGATTAAAGGCGTGTGCCACCACGCCCAGCACTTAAGTTTTCTTTTTAAACATTATTTGTGTGTGTGAGTGAGTGTGTGTGTGTGTGTGTGTGTGTGCATGTGTGGTGGTCAGAGGACAATTTGTGGGAGCCAGTTCTCTCCTTCGACTATGTGGGTCCTGGGGATCAAACTTAGGTTGTTGGTAGCAAGTCTGTTTATTTAACCACTGAGCCATTTCACCCATCCTTTTTTACTTAAAGACTGATTTAATTTTTCCATGATCACTACATGATGTCCCCAAAATAAGTAGAATGGAGATCTATAGAAAGAAAAACAACTTCCCAAATGGTAACAAATGTGCCCATTCTACAGTATTTGTTTCTATTACTAAGAAGCTGACACTGTGTTTGTTTTTAAGACAGGGTCTTCCTGTAGCCCCACTGGTCTATAATTCACTGTGTAGAGCAGGCTGGCTTCAATCTCACAGAGTACTCCAAGTGCTGGAATTAAAGGTGTGTGCCACCACCCCTGGCTCAGGCTAATTTTTAATATAAGAAAAAGAATCAGGGTCAGGGAGATGGCTCAGTTGGCATGAGTGCAAAGGACTGAGTTTGGTTCTGCAGCACCCACATAAATGTCAGGCAGGTGTGGTAGCCTACCCATAATCCTAGCACTTGGGAGGCAGAGTCAGAGCATCCCTGAAGCAGGCTGGCTAGGTAGACTAGCCAAATCACCAAGCTTTAGTTGAAGTGAGAGATCCTGTCTCAATAAATAAGGTAGAGAATAATTTAGAAAGATACCTAGGTCAACCTCTGACCTCACATACACATATGTACACACACACACACACAGAGGTACATGTACATCCACACATATGCACCCACACGTATTCAAACGCATAGGCATGTACCCCATACACATGTACACATGCAAAAAGAATAATAAAATAGCAAATAAATCATAGCAATAAAAACAACCGCTGAAAAGATATTTGAGCAGTTATACAAACATTAACTTTTCTTTTAAGAAAAGTTTAGATGTAGGAGTGGAGGAAGTTTAAGAATGAAGTAATTCATGGCCAGGTGTGGTGGCGCACACCTTTAATTCCAGCACTCGGGAGGCAGAGGCAGAGGCAGGCAGATCTCTGTGAGTTCAAGGCCAGCCTGGTCTACATAGTGAGTTCCAGGACAGCTGGGGCTACAGGGAGACCCTGTCTCAAAAAAAAAGACCAAAAAAAAAAAAGAAGTAATTCAATGAAGAGTTCAAACTCATTAACAACCAAAAGGAATATGACAATTATAAATGTATACTAAAACTCACAGTGATGAGGAAGCCGATTTTTGCACTGTAAAAGAAAATAATCACTTTCGTTGCATATTTCTAGAATATCTGTTGCGTGATATTTACAATATTAAGATAAGATAACATAGTTTCTTGACTTTTCCTTAGTTGGACCTTTTGAAAACAAAAGTTATATAATACAGATACATTTTGGTGTCAGGAGGACTCTGCATAGAGGTGAAATAAAAGAGTTTCATGATCAAGAGACAATTAGATTTTGTTTAAAAATATTGCCACAAAAATGGTATGATTATAATTATACTTAATTACAATTAAGACAGTGCTTCCCTCACTGTAAACCCCAGCTGAGAGCCGCAGAGAGTGAGTTGTTTGTTTCGGAAGACTGGTTGTACTTTTCACAAAAGCAGGACGATCACGTGATTTATTGACCAAACTGAGACAATTTTAAAAGTGAAAAGGGACACTCAGCAATAAAGTTAGTTAACATGCCTAGGACTTTCTTGGGTACACAGTGACATTCTGGTTACCCAAGCCATTCATTCTGAATTCATGATAAACCAAAACTTACAGGTGCTAAGATATATTAATATGCTGAAGGAACAGGCCATAATTCACAGTAGATCCAGTTCCTAGTGTCTCTATGATGAAAGGATAGTTCCAACCACAAGAAAGGAATTTTTCTATCTTCAGAAAAAGTAACCTGCAGATCAGAGTCATCCTCTGGGATGGGATTGTGCCTGTTAAGATGAATACATGTCCTTGTAAAATGCTTTTAGGGATATAGAATAAGAAAGGTTCTGTGAATGGGTGAAGGGAAAGAAATTTTGTTCAAATGTGTAGACCTTACACTGAGATAAGCCTTTGAGTTTCTGATGTACTACTGCTAGATGGGCCTCCTTCCTTGCTCAGGGTGGTATGCAATTAGTACGACTTCTCTGATTGGCCGTGCACCGCAACCCAAGTAAGGGATTTGTCATTATGGGTCTTAGGTGGTTCTTACAGATTCCATTTTTACAACAGGAACTGTCAAAACTAATTTTTTAAGAATTCACTTTTTAAAAAAATCACATCCTTAGAAGTCAGGAATTATATCATAAGAAAATACTTCCCTGTTGGAAGCCTTCTGAAACTTGGCCACACGCTGTATTTCCAAATTTGGGGTTTGGTACATGATGGGCTCTGCATTGCATTTTGACATTGAAGTCTGTAACTCTTTTAGATATTGATGAATGTGTTGAAGAGCCAGAAATCTGTGCCTTGGGGACATGCAGCAACACTGAGGGCAGCTTCAAATGCCTGTGTCCGGAAGGGTTCTCCTTGTCCTCCACTGGAAGACGGTGCCAAGGTAAGGATGTCTAAAGGCTTCGGCCTCTTGTTATCCTGTATGTATTTGTTGTGATCTTAGGTTTTCAACTTGGCAGAGTTCTGATTCTTTGTGAGCAGGAAGATGTTTCATTCACCCACAGGTCTAATGATTACCATATGCCAGAAGGTTCATTTGTAATTTTGAAGTTAAAGACTCATCCATCACGTTTTAGTTGCTTATACAACTTTCTTGGCACTTAAGCCTCTGCTCCTCCTACAAGCACAGATGCTGATAGGCTCTTTGGTATGGCATCCCTAAGAGCCTCTGAAGGCCCAAAGCCTGGGGGAGATAAGCTATAGGTTCCCTGTCTCAGAAGCTGCAGCCTACATGAATGTGGGTATAAACCGGGACCTACAGACAGAGAAAGTGCAGACTGACCACATATCCTCAGGAAAAGATGCCAATCCTCACCTTGTAAATTCTCTGGAAAATCAGAATAATATTTGTCAACAGTGAATTTTTTCAAGGGCTTGCCGTGTTGACCTTCAATAAAATGAAAAAGAAAAAAAATGAACATAAACTTAATACAATGTGTGATTG